TATACCCTATATTTAACTTGTGAAAAAAAAATTTATATTCCTGCCTACCCATGTTTTTGCAGGAAAAAAATTAAAAAAACAAAACTGTTATGCCTACCTACCGACCGTAATTTTCACAATCCATGTGACCCGAACCAAAGGTATTTTTTTGTTTGGCCTTATTTGTTTTAATATGAATAAGAATTATATAGTGTTGTAATTTAATCGTTGAAATTAATATTGTTTAATATCATCGAATTATGATTTTATTTGAATGTCATTAGTTTTTTTTCAAAATATTAATTTGAATCTCATTTTCTCGGAGAATGAGCGAGTAATGTCAACATCATTTAATCATCCATCATGTCAATTAACGATCGAGTCCAAGCTTGTGATGCAGTGAAAAAAATACACGGGGGCTCGGGGCGATTTCGCCCCCGAAATGCCAAAAAGAGCCCCCGTAAATTTGCATAGAGTTCAATGTAAACCAAATTTTAGAGTGCTATTTTCATGCACGCGAGCTTGAAAAGTAGCCCCCGAAAAATACATTATATATTTTTTCCTCTGTTGTGATGACATGATTGCCATGAGATGGCGCTGTGTTCATTATAATTTCTGCACCAGATGGCGCTTACCTCGGCTAGCAGTCGTCATCGCCGCAGGGCGTCGCTTCGTTAGTGTTTTAATTAGCAACGAGCGACTCGCGATCACTCATCTATATTCATGTGGAATCTGGCAGGTTTACGCGCGTGGTTTATAGCGTGGAATCAGAGAGTCTTACTGATCCTAATGCATCTGTTTCAGGCACACGACCGAAAAAGTGATATATTTCTTACTGCTTGACCGTAAAACAAGGAAACCCAGCTACGAGGATGAGGAGGAGGCAATCATAAAGTAAGCAGGGGGAGGAGGGGGAGGAGGAGGAGGCAATCATAAAGTAAGCAGGGGGAGTGTTTAGAAATACCCCACCGTGAGTGCGCACGTGTAAATCCGTCCACACATCGTTATTCCCCCCCCCCCTGTCAGATTTCATCGTTTCTCGTTCTCGCCACCAGGAGTCGCTGCCCGGAGACGGACCCGCCGCGTAAGCGCATCGACTCTCCCGTGCGCACGGTGAACGGACGCTCGCCGAGTCGTTGCCACGGTTACGAGCTGAGTGACGGCTCGCCGGTGGTTACGCGACGCACGTACGCGGGGCGCACAAGCTCAGGCTGCAGTTACCAGCAGTACCAGCAGCACCATTCACGCCAACACTCGCCACACCACTACCACCAATCGTACGTACCGCCCGCCCGACCACCAGGGGGCGCCGCGCGGCCAGTAACCATTGCTTATAACACACACGTAAATTACTACCTAGTAACCCGACTTCTGTACGATCAGCGATCTGTGTGACCTTCACGTTATTGCTGACATTGTGTGTAAAATGAATTCTACAATATAAATATGTACTTTATGAAGAAAAATTACTACCTAGTATAGCGCACATGGCAATTTTGCATATTGTATGACTGGAAAATGTGTAAATATTAATATAAATCAAAAGTAATCAAATATCCATTCTTAAATATTAATGTATCACATATATACACATTAGTTATTATGTTATGATGTGTTTAATAGTAGCATACTAACGTAGTAAGTGTACTGTGTACGTAGTATTGTGTTTATTGTTGTAATAATATTGATCTATTGTCATTTGAGAAAATTATTACGATAATTATTATGCTATTCAGTAACTTTCTCCACCTCCCATCTCCACTTTATTCTTGACCCCCTGTCTCAGTGTTTCAGTGTCTCAGTGTCTCAGTGTCTCAGTGTCTCAGTGTCTCAGTGTCTCAGTGTCTCAGTGTCTCAGTGTCTCGGTGTTTCAGTGTCTCAGTGTCTCAGTGTTTCAGTGTCTCAGTGTCTCAGTGTCTCAGTGTCTCAGTGTCTCATCGTCTCGGTGTCTCAGCGTCTCGGTGTCTCAGTGTCTCAGTGTCTCAATGTCTCATTGTCTCGGTGTTTCGGTGTTTCAGTGTCTCAGTGTCTCAGTGTTTCAGTGTATCATTGTCTCAGCATCTCAGCGTATCAGTGTCTCAGTGTCTCAATGTCTTAATGTCTCAGCGTCTCGGTGTCTCAACGTCTCAGTGTCTCAATGTCTCATCGTCTCGGTGTCTCAGTGTCTCAGTGTCTCAGTGTCTCAGTATCTCAGTGTCTCAGTGTCTCAGTGTCTCAGTGTCTCAGTGTCTCGATGCCATCTCTGCGCAGGAGGTCACGCAGCTCGCCTCGCAGTCTCAACAGCAGCCCGATGCCGTCGCCTCAGCCGAGCCCCAAGCACCCGCCGGGTACGGTGGCGCTCTCATGCGACGATGCCGCCGCCGCGGGGGGACTGCTGGCGCCCCCTGGCTCGCCGAGCTCGCAGGCGTGGAAGACGCGGCTGACGTCGACGCTGAAGAACAGCCTTCTGGGAAGTCCGCGGTTCCATCGACGGAAGATGCAAGGTCGGTGGCGCCCCCCGGGGGGCAATCGTCTGTTGCTCTACTCAGTGTGAGAGGGCGGACAGGTGGTGGTCGGGGGGGGGGTGTCTAACCAGGGAACAAATTACTTTGTTTTCACGGGAGCTCTTTTTCAAAAGTCTGTGGAAAAAATAGCTCTCGTCAAAATTTTTGCAGGAGCTATTTTGAGCCACACGGGAGCGATTTCAGAGGTTTGAAGAGCGAATCGCTCATTGCTCCCGTGTATTTTTTACCCTGTGTCTAACACGGGGGGGGGGGAGTCTAACACGATACAAGGGTAAGGTATAGAAGTGGGTGTAGTAGAGGAAGGACCAAAGAGCAGGAATGAGAATGTTCCGCGGATTCGCGGATGATTTACGGGTTTCGGTTTTCATTTTTACATTCCTGCTCAATTACTGGCAGTAGCATGAAGTTTGTAGCGGATTATCCTGCCTAGAGGAGAACAGTGAAGATAAGCGTTGAAGCCCCAAAAGGTATACCACTGAAAGTTTTTGGAGCAGGCGGTATACACTGTCTTTACTCTTTACCGTCTAGGTAGGACAGGCACGGACACGAGAACCGTGATTCCAATATTTAAGGTACTCTTACCAATAATATCATGTTTTACTGTAAATGCTGCTGAATGGAATAGCCCGAAATATGTAAGAAAAAGGTTGCAAAGAGACGAGGGCACATAACTGGTTGGCTCATCTTAGCTTTGCATGGGTGCAATGCATGTGATCGTTTTGAATCTTGCGTTATTAGCCTCAGTGGATAAACTGACCCCTAAGCACAGTAGCTGAAGTATAACCACGAAAATGTACCTTTCTATCATAAGTCTGCGAGAAGTTATAGGCGCAGTTTATATAGATGACGGTGTTCTTTTCGGCTAGCCCATCTTAGATTTAACAATGACGGCAATGCCATTTTCGGTACCGTATCGGTTTTTAATGGATGCCTGACCCATAAGAACTATAGGGATAGACACAAAATCAACCTCTATCATAAATAGGTGCGAGTTTGGTTCAATTACATGAATGACGGCCATCTTGAACGCCGGCCATCCTTCGTAATTTCGGAATGTCACCTTATGCCTTCCCTGAAATGCATTCAGAAGTTCTACCAAGTTTTTTACTCCCTAGCGCGGTGTCCCCTACCCATGAATCATAGCGTCAAAACTTGCGGGCGACATCATAAAATGTCCACACAGGACTTCCCCCAGCTGATAGATAGTACCTATGGTGAGGAACACCTATGAACTGACCGTGTCATGACTCTCTGTCTTTCTTTCTCTCTCTCTAGCGCCGACACCATCGGAGGAAGCTCAGCTAAACCTCACGCCAGAGTCTTCTCCTGAGTAAGTTATCCTGTATATCAGTAGTTTCCTTCTCGCTCACTACTATATCAGTAGCTTCCTTCTCTCTCACTATTATATCAGTGGCTTCCTTCTCTCTCACTATTATATCAGTGGCTTCCTTCTCTCACTACTATATCAGTAGCTTCCTTCTCTCACTACTATATCAGTAGCTTCCTTCTCTCTCACTAACTGTTATATCAGTGCTTGCCTTCTCTCCACTACTATATCTAGCTAGCTTCCTTCTCTCTCATACTTATATCAGTGGCTTCGTAATACTTCTTCTCACTATTATATCAGTGCTTCCTTCTCTCTCACTACTATATCAGTGGCTTCCTTCTCTCACTACTATATCAGTAGCTTCCTTCTCTCTCACTACTATATCAGTGGCTTCCTTCTCTCTCACTATTATATCAGTAGCTTCCTTCTCTCTCACTACTATATCAGTGCGCTGCACTTCGCTTCTCTTCTCACTCATTATATCAGTAGCTTCCTTCCTCCTCACTATTATATCAGGGGCTTCCTCCTCCTCACTATTATATCAGGGGCTTCCTTCTCTTCTCACTAGATTTATAATCAGCTGCGCTCCTTTCTCCACTACTATTTCAGTGGCTTAACCTTCTCTCTCCACTATTTATATCAGTAGCTTCCTTCTCTCTCACTTAACTATATCAGTAGCTGTCCTTCTACTCCACTACTTATATCAGTGGCTTCCTACTCTCTCACTATGTTATAGTCAGTAGCTTCTTCTCTCTCACTATAGTAGATTACGTAAAATTATATATATATCTTCTAAACCTTCTCAATCTTCCTTGCTGTGCTGTCAGTGAGCTGAGCGTTAATCTGTGTTTGTGGGTTACGTCTTCTTTGCAGGTAACTTGCATCTATATAGAAGTCTGTGGTTGAGCGGCTCGCGTTCATGCACTTCCGGAACAGAAGGAGGAGGTTCAGTTTGAATTTGCTGATGTCAAAGGAGACAGGACCTCTCGATCTAAACGATCAAGGCGCAGACCTTTTAAGTACATGCCTTCCCTCTCTGTAAGTCGATACCTGCCTCCCTCCTCCCTCCCCCCCCTCCTCCCTCATCAAGGATAGGGGGGGGGGGGGGGGGGGGGTGGGGGACCTCTCAGTACGATCAAGGCCCAGACCTGTACATGCCTTCCTCTCTGTAAGTCACACCTCCTCGCCCCCTCTCTCTGGCAACCTCCTCCCCTCCCCCCCCTCCCTCATCAAGATAGACCTCTCAGTACGATCCAAGGCCAAGGCCATAGTACATGCCTTTCCTCTCTGTAATCACCCTCTCTTCTTCCCTCCCTTCCTCCCTCCCCCCTCGCTCCCTCATCAAGGCAGACCTTGTACATGCCTTCCTCTCTGTAAGTTACCTTCCTCCCTCCCTTCCTCCCCCCTCTCCCTCATCAAGCGCAGACCTTGTACATGCCTTCCTCTCTGTAAGTTACCCTGCCTCCCTGCCCTCCCCCCTTCCCCCCTTCATCAAGCGCCCAGACCTTTACATGCCTTCCTACTTCTGTAAGATCAGCTTCCTTCCCTCCCCTCCCTCCGTCTCCCCCCCTCCTCCCTCATCAAGGCAGACTTGTACATTGCCTCCTCTCTGTAAGTCAGCTATCCTCTCACCTCCCTCCCTCCACCTCCTCCCCCTTCTCCCTCATCAAGGGCAGACCTTGTACATGCCTTCCTCTCTGTAATCATCTCCTCTCTCCTTCCTCCCCGCCCCATATCCTGTCTGCATTGACCTCCCCTCTGCGACCTGGCCCTCTGAGATTGGGTTTCTTTCCTTGATGGACTTTCGTTAACACGATGGTTTTCCTTTCAAGCCTGGCATTTCAGTTCTGCTGTGTGTCTGTCGTGTTACTGACATTTCTATCTGCAGAAATCTTCGCTATTCATTAGTGGTTGAATTAATGTATCACAACTTGATAAGACTGTAAACGGTTTATAGACGTATATAGTGAATATTATGATAATATATATATTATATATACAACATAAAATTATTGTCAACAAATGGAAATTACATAGGTTATGATAAAAAGGTTATATTAATTATATAAATGTTATATAATAATTATAAATATATAGACACACATATATAAATAGATTTACACAGCAGTGTGCATGCATGTAGGTCTGTAGTATGATACTGTATAATCATAACCTTCTTCCTCTCTCCACCCCTCCCCCGGCCCCCGCGCTAGAGTC